AGCGCACCACAAGAATAAACAGGCACTGGAGCTGCAGCGGGGGGCTAACACACCCCCCCCATAAAAACAGAAGGGAGGAAAGTTATGAGACAATAGGAAACAGAAGCAAGAAGTAACGGAAGAGGGTATAAAGCGTTGATAGCAAATGACCCATTCTTACTTCCATTTTTCTATCTTCCAAAGATTAACATCAAGCTAAAGAGCACTGAAGATTTGAGGGGTGATAAAAAAAGACAAAAGAGAAGTAGGGTTAAGAGAGGGTGAATGCATTGCAACACTGACCTGCGTGACGAGGAACTTGGTGACGCGTTCCGGCAGTTTGCTCTTCTCGCTGGACAAAATCATCTCCAGCATGTCGCCGTGCAGCTTCTCCATGACGACGAACACCCGCTCCGGCGTCTCGAACATGCACTCCAAGTTCACGATACCCGGGTGGTGCAGATTCTAAAAGAATGCACAAAAGACATGAGATCTATACCGGATATCTATCAGGACTATTGAGAGTATAACAGTTAAGACAATTTACGCTCGTATTTGATTTCATTGTGTGCTTGATGGATGCTGGTTATTACCTGTAATATGGCCACCTCATTCCGTAGCTGGCTCTCCTGCTTAGTAGGAAATCTCATCTTGTCAATAACCTTGATGGCCACATCTCTGCCACTTTTTCTGTGTTTGCCTAAAATATAATGGGAAAATTAATAACTTTCAAAATCAAACAAATGTAATTCAGTTCACAATAGTAGTATATGAAATCTGAGTGGTACGGGGCGGTGTGTAGCTCAACTGGTAAAGTAAATTAAAAGGGAAACACACCTCCATACACAATGCCAAACTGTCCGGATCCCAGCACCTCATCAGAGAATATTTGGTACACTGAAGCGATATCCTACAAAGAGAACATTTGCATTGTTACTGTTTTTCATTGCATGATTACATAATCAAAAGCCCGTAAGAAAAACCATTCTTCCAAAAAAAGGTTTTCTGGCATTGCCACGTTTAACTTTCAAATAATGCAGAAGTGGAACTGAAACGATATCCCCTTTACCAAAAATAAATGGGACAGCAGCTTCCCCAATTATGCAGCATAAAAGCTTCCACTTGGACATTTTCGTAAAGAAACAATTACTCATTTTTACCACAACAGATACTTTAATAGCTCATGAATGCGTGCATGTGCAGCCTTTGCGGGGAAGTTGTGCAACAGCGTCGATCAGAGAAAAAAAAACTCACCACATTCTCCTGGACCTGGCAGTTGGACACAGATATGCTGATGGACAGCTCTTCTGGAGAGGACACACACGAATAAGTTTACCAAAAGCAAAAGCATCCATCTTTAATTGCAGTCTGAGAGATATTGGTCAAATACTGGCATTTTTTACTTTTAGGCTTATCGCAGCTGCATGCAATAAGTCAAAGCCGCGCATAATGAAGCATTTTATCACACAATAAATTGGCTATAAATTTGATCTGGGAAGCTATGTGTGACTGAATGGTCCAAGTATGCGATGCATTTTCATAACTGGGAATTTAAACCCGCCGCAGGGGCTAATTCTGCATACTAGCCAGTGAATAGAAGAGCAAGTAGAAAACAAGATGTTGTGATCATTAAGCTAGTGCTACACCCAACACATGTCATTTTAATGGATATTTGATTGAGAAATTACCACATAATGACACAAATATTTGCAGATTAAAATATCTTATTTGCCTGTTCATCTACTATAATGTAATAATCCCTGACTACAGTGATAAAGGCTTAATCTCAAGTCATTTCATTTGTCTAAATGTCATCTCGAAACAGTGACTTGCTTTGAGGCATCACTTCCTTTAACCTATCGACACTAATAAAGGGTTTCCCCGCTTATTGAATGCTAAAGCCAGCTACCTTGTTGTTTTTTTGACCACTAAAGCCAACACAGTGTAAAGAGGGACCTTCTTTCTAATTGAGACAACATTCAAATCTTAACCACAAGCAAAAGGCAGACTTTATTTTGTTGTGGCCCTAGAAGTTACCTACTTAGTTTCGGGTTGAGTAATAACAAAATGTGACAGGGGAAATGTTTGTCTGATACAAGGCAGACAGTTAAACATTGACAACATTCCTTACTAATGTATTTTACTATCTATGAAGTCTCAGATAAAAGCTCTTCTTGTTTATTGTATGTAAAAAAACGAAATTGCTTCAGCCAGAGGCCGCTAAAATAAACAAGAAGACCCTTTATCTGAGATTTAGAGCCGTGTGCAATTCTAATTCCTATAAACTTCAAAATCTCTCAAAGTCATCATCATAGTTTTTCTACTTTCGAATCTCTAATAATTTTAGAATTTATATATTTTTGACAAACTATACTGTTGATTATGGATTATTGTTATCCCATGATGGACTGTTATTAGCTGAAAAGGTTAAATACAAAATTATAAACTTGAATAATTGTTAGCACCACACATCTTCACCTAAAAAAGTGAATTTTTTATAAAATTGGTTGCCTGAATTCCCCTAAAATTTGCATTTTAAAGAGAAAAATAAGCAATATTTTTCTACTTCCTTTTTCTATTTTAAGTTTTCCCATCTCCTCTACTCACTATGATCTTTGCCCTGTCCCGTGGCGCTGGCCACGCTGGGCTGGGGGGTGACGGGCATCAGGGCCTGTCTGATGGCCTTCTCCCAGCCCTGAGCCACGTCCATGCCGACCCCCGAGGCGGCCAGCGCGGGGCTGTGGTAGAGGCTGCAGTTGTTCTCCCCCACGTAGTACACCATGGTGGCTGTGATGACCTCGAAGCAGTGAGGGTTGCTACCCTGGGCCAGGTTACTGTAGTCTCTGCACTGTTCCACCTGCAGGATCTCCGACAGAGGGATTTCCTGAGGGAGGGGGGAGGGACACAAATCACAACTAGTAAGCGATCATACAAAAAACTAAATATTATATTAGGATTCTCTCAAATAAATAAGGTCCCAAAAAAGTATTTTGTTTTGTTTTGTTTTTTCTACACTAAGTGTTATCAGTACAATCAACCAATAAACCTGTGGCATTAACAATTCATTGGTACAAAAAGCAACACCCTTCAACAATACAAAACAGTGTAAAGGAGTCCAACAGCATCTACATAAGTTTCAGAATTAATTATAAATATTAAAACAAAATAGAAATAGCAAATTCGAAAATGAGATACATCTTTTCTGAAAAACTAATACAAAAATAGATTTACAGAAAAGTTACTACCAAAAAACAGTTTAACAGACTTTAACACAATTCAGTAAATATTTTAAACAAAATTACAATGGTCGTTATCTCAATTAAAGCAGAAAAATTGGTATAACGCACTACTGCTGCAAAGACATGACATAAACTAAAATACAGGAAGTAACACTCACACACTCCAAAAGTCTCCACAGTGTTGATAGAGTTAAATAGTCCCAGCTCTAACTTTCTCCTTCACTCTCCTCTCTCTTATGAGCACATACAGAAAAGAACAGTTGCTGCACACTTTAAAAGTCCCCCCCCTCCCCCTGTCCCTCAAACTCACTGTCAAATCAAAGAGAGGAGGGAGGGTCGAAACATTTCAAATCACAGAGATGTCTCAGCCAATGGGGGGCTCAGAGAGGCACACGCTGTCCCCTCCGCGTGGCTCACCACAGAGTATCAGATGAAGTGCTTGTGGTTAGCGGGGCCGGGTCACGTGAGCGGGGGCCCTGCGGCGGCTCAAGTGCTCTGGTTCCCTGATTACAAGGCAGGTCCAGCCAGGGGCCCCATCTGAGCACGAGCCGCTGGCGCTACCGCTAGCCACGGAGACGAAAGACACGGCAACTACCGTTCCTCTGCGGGGTAGTGTGTGTGTGTGTGTGTGTGTGTGTGTGTGTGTGTGTGTGTGTGTGTGTGTGTGTGTGTGTGTGTGTGTGTGTGTGTGTGTGTGTGTGTGTGTGTGTGTGTGTGTGTGTGTGTGTGTGTGTGTGTGTGTGTGTGTGTGGTGGGGGGGGGGGCGTTTGAGTGTGACAGGACTCAATCTGGCAGAGACAGAGAGAAGCCCCCTCACCCCATAAAAGGGTTCTTCAGAGAAAGCCACAAGTACAGGGGTCTCATCTTCAAACGGGGAGCGGTTATGGCTTCCAAATGGAGAAAATGGCTGCCATGCCTGGCAAGCAAGCCACCACGCGACCACCACTAATCAGATCGGAGGTATAAAGGAAAAGAGGAGAGGGGCGGACAGCGGCCACACACTGATGAGCAGCAGGCTACAAAAACTTCAGAGGAGTTGAGGGGAAAATGCCCGGGACAGACGACTTCCAGGGCGCACGCCGAGCATATGGAGAATCTGTGGTTTTCGGAAGAAGAGACCCCCAGAAAGAAGCTTTTTCTACTTCATCTTATCTATCATTGGATACAACTCTGAAGCGGCAAGCAAGAAAACAAGGCATTTACAGCTAGCCTTCAATTAGCCCCCTGAAGGTCCTAAACGTAGCAGAGTTGATCATAAAGAACCACATAAATCTGCCAGTGAACACACCCTGAGGAATCGCTCCCCAATGAGGTTTCCTCTCCAAGGCTTTAGGGGCAGGCGCGCGACAGAAACACTTGAAGATAATTCAGTTTTTAAAGGGAGTTAGTGTGACAGATGTGTACAGCTGTGCATAAAACCACCTGTTTGACACACACTCATAAGTGAACTATCGCACTGGAAACTCTGCATCCTACACTTCGTCCCACTGTGAGTCTGACCACAGATCAAGGAGGTGTCGAATTCTCAAAACACACAAAGGCGACACGAACAATAAAAATGATTACATCCCCCACCCTGCACTCACAGCCACCGACACACATGTGGAAGTCTTTACCTTGCAGTTGCCTCCCTCTGTCCTCAGTGTGTAATTACCTGCTATTAAGCCCCTGCGGCGGTGTAATGACTGACTTCGGTGCTGGCGCTGAGCGGGCAAGTGTCACACACTGTCCACAACAGGCTTTACATATCGAAATTACAGTGTTTTTCTCACAGCCACCACTTGAATAAAAAAGATTACAACTTCTCTCTAAAACTTATTGTTCTAGAATAATTATGCATCAAGATTCTTCTGTAAATCCTATGGTTAAATTGTTGAATATCTATCAAAACCCCTTCAAATGTCCCTATCTCATTTGATACGCTTTAGCTAAAGACAGAGACTGTTGGTGATTTGACACTTTTGCTTCAAGCAGGGAGAGACCGGCCTGCAGGGTGTAAAACCACAGGGGAACTTTCAACTGACCTCAGGGTAGTTTACAGTTGCAACATGGCAGCCCTCAAGCTGAGTCACACAAAGACCACTGCTTGGGTTGGATTTACATACCCCTCATGAGTGTGACAGACGATATTCAAACACAGATATGGAAATGCATCACTCTTATACCTTTACTTTATGTAAAAATATGAGCTTGAACTCTGAGCTAAATGCATCTGTTAATGAAATAAGTTGATCAATAAAAAGGATTAAAACATTTTCTTTAAATAGAAAAATATCCAAATCGCAATAATCTAATATCTGAATTTAGTATTGTGGTGCTGGAAAAAGAAATCCCAGCATACAAACCATAATCTATAGACTTAAAAATAGTTGTTTGGTACAGATCCTCCTTTATATGTTTATATATATATATATATGTTTTAATGATAATGTGAGTTTTCTTACAACAATGGTAATTCCCTTTAATATCGAAAAGTCATATCGCAATTACAATATCAGTAAATATATTCGTAATTAGTTTTTTTTTCCAAATCGTGCAACCCTAAATGGTACACTTCTGTGGAGCTATAAAAGATTATCCATTGAATTACTTTGCATTAAGCTGCCCAATTTTTGACAGATTAATAAATCCTTCTGTGTGTTTGATGTGGATGGCGACATATTATTTTCCAAGAACATGGCAGAGATGATAGTTTTCTGCTTACTTTGTAGAACTTGGCTCCGGTGTCGTTCTGGAAAAGACTCAGACTCTTGCCTTCCAGCCTCCAGTAATGTCTCTTCCTCTGTTCAATGGAGACACAAAGTTAATCCAAACGACAAAACCCGCATCACCTACCGATAATAACCATACTTTTAAAATTCAGTTTCATGAGGAAAATACCTTCTGTGCTGAATTCAACACATGTGAACAGCTTTGGAGAAGGAGTTTTCCCCAGCATACAGGCTAAGCACAGCCCATTTCAGACTGGGCTCCTTTGTTGGGCTTTTGGGGGCTATCAGTCTTACCAGGTTGTCCCTGCTCGTATAATGAACCATCCAGCCCTCCTTCACCACAGTGGAGCTCCGCCTCTTGGTGTGTTTGATGGACTGGACCACCCGCATCAGAGGGATGTTGCTGCTAGTGGAAGGGCTAGACACACACGCAGAAAATAAAAATGAACAATTTCATGAATCAATATGTCAATTACTCGTTGTTAAACATACTGAAACAATAACCGGTTACATTTGAATTGACTTGTAGCCAGCTCATGAAACTTTTATATTTGTTTTTCTAAGCACCTGGTCTGGTAGGTCGTTTCCTGACAGAAACCCTGCACAGGAAGTGATGCATTTTATGTTTGCAGCACTACTGGAAACATAAAACGCAAGCTGCCGGTGTAGAACAAACATAGGAATTGGGCAGTTAGGTGGTTTAAAACATAACCGCAAAGTCTCCGGTTTGAATCAGGCTGCTGACCTTGGATACATTTCTTCCCTTGTTTCCTGTCAAATTGTATTGAGCTGTTTAATAATGGCAAAATGCCTATATATACTGTATATGACCTGAGGCTCTAGCTAGCTACTTAGCCTCAATCTCTGAAATGCTTCACCAATCTCTTTACGTTTTTTCCTGCACGATTTTTCGCCGTTCAATCAGATTGCCCTATAAAAAGTGACATCACATCCGTCTCAGATTAGACCAAACAACACTCTCTCTGTGATTGGCCAAGGTCTCACATCACAGGCTGGATTTTCAGAGCCTCGAGGAGATGGAGAAAGATAGTTTTCTCTCTGACCGCTTGTATTACAATATGCGCGCGTGGTTTTATTTTGCCCATTGATGCCCAACAAAAAAAATAAACTGCCTACCCTATCTTTAAATCTTCCTACCTAATAGTCTTGATGGGCTCCTCGTCCTTCTCTCTATCCAATAAGGGAGAGTCCATGTCGAACATCCTTTCGTCCGGGGTGGAGGGTTCCTCTGGGTCGTCCAGTCCTCTGCCCCCGTCCATATCCCCACTGTCCACCTCCATAGTGTCCATGGTGGTGTCCGAGTCCGGGCCGGGGCTGGCTGGCTCTACACGTTAAATATGGTAACATTTGAAATTGCAAATAATGAAGATATACCCCTATGACTTTGAACTTAGATGTTGAAATTACCTCCATTGAAGTCCACCTCCCCCAAACAGTCTCTAGGTACCTTTGACGCACATCGCTTATGGCAGTTGAACCTGCAGTCTGGCAGATGAAATACAAAAAATTACTCAAACATATGATATTTATGGAGAAGCCTCACCAAAATGCACCGAATTCTCTACATGTATATACCTTTACATTGCATGCCCTGGCGAAAGAGACCCTTGAGCAGGCGCTTGCAGTACTGGCAGATAGTGGGACGGGTGTAGGTGTGAATGGCGAACGTGTGCGGCACTTTAACCCGTCCCAGCACCATCTTCTCCATCCAGATAGGCCGGCCGCTCCACGACAGGATCCGCTTCCCCGCCTCCTGATGGGACCTCTGCTGCTGGGGTTGGAAGGATGGGGAAGAAAATGTAGGGATGATGGCCAACAATTAAAAACCATGTGCAGGAAGGAAAAGAGGAAGAAAAGGCTCTGAAGCTCCCATTCAAGTGATAGGGAAAGAAAGAGTGAATGGTGACATGGCAGTTGAAGAAGAGAAGGAAACTAATGGAAAAGGGAAAGAGGGATCTGTCATATCGAGTTAGCATGACTCAGCGTAGTTAGCATGATCCCAGTGGTGGAACATTGTTATTAGATTTGTCAGGTTTTACCACATTTGGTTCTGATTTGAACTAAATCATCAAGCTGGAAGTTCCTGACAGAAATGGTTAGGAAGCTTTCTTCATTTTCATGATACATAAACTTAAAAATGTAAGGTCATTAGCGTAATTACATTTCCTGATGACCCATGGCGAGGACACGGACAACAGAGGAATATTTCAGTGCGGGATTAGTCAAAAACTGTTTCATAAGGCCTTGCTGAGGATCACTTCACAGACCACTGTGCAACTCAATGAAATGTTCTGCATCAGTGGTGTTCTACAACAGGAGATTCCAGCATGCAAAAGAGGCACATTTGATAAGTTTAGACACGTTTACCAGATGAAACAAAGCTTGTGAGCAGCATGTGGATTGACTGCTTCACATTCTTGGCCAATTTGCTTGGCTCCGTGTCTGGTTTAGGATGTTTTAACTCCAGCCAGCTCATTTTATATGTGAGGATAATAAAAATCATCACCTCGTTCCCCTGTCAGTCTGAGAATAAGCAGATACTCATTCCAACTTTGTACAGTCCTCTTTAAAGACTGTTCTATCCAAACATATGACAAGCAACCACCATTCAGAACTCACCTCGTCCAGGACGACCACGGTGTTTTCAACAGGTGGGGGTCGGGGCACGGAGAGGGAAGGTCCGGGCAGGGAGACATTGGACAATCTCCTCTTCCTGACACCCGTACAGTTATTTGGGATCTTAAAGGCACAGCGCTTGTGGTAGTTTAGCCCACATCCTTCAAACACAGAAACACAAAGTCACTAACACACGCTGCCTAATGACATAAAATGAGAGAGAATAATAATTCAAATCTGATCCAACTCAATTAAAGGCGAGCAGAGATGCAATATTTCCAGTGGGAATGTCAAGAGCGCCGCTGGAACTATTGCCAAATATTTTTAGTTTGCTCGTAAATCTCCGTGATACACTGTTGAGGTCAGATCTGTGGTGTGTGTGTGTGTGTGTGTGTGTGTGTGTGTGTGTGTGTGTGTGTGTGTGTGTGTGTGAATACAGTAGGAAATAAGTTGCTTTGTCTCCCTGACTAACACTGAGTATTGTACAGATGGTGTGTGTGTGTGTGTATGTGTGTGTGTGTGTGTGTGTGTGTGTGTGTGTGTGTGTGTGTGTGTGTGTGTGTGTGTGTGTGTGTGTGTGTGTGTGTGTGTGTCTAACCTTCACATTTGAGCCCCTGCCGGACGAGACCCCATAGCATCTCCCCGCAGTAGTCGCAGAAGGTGGGGGCTTTGTAGGAATGGACATAAAGGCCATGTGGTCGGATCTGGAAGTCTTCAACTGTGGCTTGAGCTAGAAACAATACACAAACTAAAAGTTGGCGAAAGTAAAACAAATCTGGATAACAGTTTTATAAAAAAGAAGGAAATAAAAACTGAGGGGGAAAAAAAGGGATGAGAAAAGATGACAAAGGAATCAAAGAGACAAGAAGATTTATCACATGTATTTGGCAACAGTTTTTAATACAAAACCAAGACAGTACACAGGCTCACTATATGTATGTAAATGAGGGAATATAAATCTAATAAAACTGAGATTCTCTCTGCAATAAAAACAAATGACTTCATGACAGTGCTATGGCTACACCGGTGCAGTAGAGGGAGCCACATCTGCAGAGACACTACTCCAGTCCTGAGTCATCACTCCGTGTGTGAAAGCGATATGGCACACCCAATGAGACACCAGAGATATGATCCTGTTAAATCGTTCCATCTGTGTGATAAGGGACACAATGTTTAAACCTAGAGAGCTGTGGACACGTCCCTGTCTCTTATGTCTCTTTCATGTCACCGCTGTTTTGTTTCAAACAGACACACTGAGCTCATTGTTGGAAGCAAGTGTTGGATAATCATTGCTGTGACTCATCAAAGATGTGAAGATGAGCAAGATATGGAGGTGGCTGCTGCCAAGAACCAGTGTGTGTGACTAGAGAGCTTTAGAGTTATGTTCCTTGCTGTCCCTTTTCAATCATTTATGTGGACGCGGTGGCCAGCAAAGACGGTTCATCTTTACACTTAGGTTATGCGGCTAACCTGTGCAGCGGCAGTGTTGATGTCATTGTGTGTGTGTGTGTGTGGGTGTGTGTGTGTGTTCATTTCCTATGAGGTGATTCAACCAAACACATTTGCTCCTGGACATCTGAGGACACATCAGCTGCTGGGACGGTGATGAGATGCAGACTTGAACAACAAATAAGACATGTGGCCATGCTAGGAATCTGCTCCTTATAAAGAAAATTGAGAACATTCTTTGAGCAAGAAATCAATTTAAGATCTACAGAAGAAAGAGAAACAGTATCAGAGAACCACTCGGCCACACGGAATATATCTGATCTGTTGCAACAATGCAACATTTCCGAAGGCAGCACAAGCCAAGGGTCAGTTCTAGGGTCGACCCAAATAACAAAACAAATATTTCACTCATTCCTGAAACAGCTGCCATTATATCATCTGTGACATTCATAATCATGCTTACTCACCAGTCACCACTCTCCACTTAAGAGAAATATGATGGCTGGTGGGGGGATTGTTGCAGTTTGCGTTTGATTTAAAAGGAAAAAAAGAGCTCAGGCATGTCACATGGTCATGTGGCCAACATAGCTCCCTGGCACAGACACATAAAAGGCAGCATTCATGAGCTTTTTCACACACGTCTGCAAAACAACTGTGTGCTTCTTAGCAGACGTATCATTGCATAATGATGATCTCATCCTTATGCAATGCTCTTCGTGCTAATTAGCATCAAGCAACACCAAACATCACCTCGACACGTTGTTTGTCGCAGCACTTCTCACGAAGCTAGAGGCTTTCATGATCATCTGTTTGCTCTGAGGCCCCCAGTGTCCATTTGGAGGCCACAAGTTTCCATCTGACAAACAGAAGGTGCCAGTATTTTTGTTTTTATAAGAAAGGCCACCGTCTGTAGTCAGAGTATAAAACACTACAATTCCCACTGCGCCTTCTCTAAAAGTGACAGACAGACGCCGTCGAGGCACAGTTTTTAACCGTTCAACTACCCTCTAAGTTATCAAGTTATACAAGCCTTAACAAAAAAAGAAAGAATACCTAAGTTGTTTGTTATTTTATTTGAGTTTTGCCTCTTTGTTTTGACTATTGTAAAGGCCTCTTTTCTTTGTTGCATGTGTAAAAGTTTGTTATTTTATTTTGAGCAAAACCATTGCATAATATCATCCAAACCATCGGAAGCCAAGCAACTCCTCAACTGTCAGTAACACAAATATAAAGGAAAGAAAACGAGTTATACATGTCTGTTTAAGGCATCTAGTGGCTTGATAGAAAAAAAAGGAAGGAAGCCACGACAGAATGTATTGAAAAATATCAAATTCACACTGCCAGCCGTGTTGAATGGGCAGCTTGTGAAAGTGGTTGGGAATTTAAGGGAGTGAAGAGCAGAACAAAGGCACCATCGGTCAGGCCAAACCTCAAACCTCATGGGCCGGGATGGCCTGCGCAGTGTCCGCTGAGTCCAGGGCCGCCCCGCACATCAGAGCGTGTTTACACTCAGCGGGTCTACTACAATCACTTACTGCAGGAAAAACAAACCCTCTTCTTTGAGCCCACAGCCAAGAAAAAGCCACTTCTGCCTCCCTCTCACAGCGAGAGAGATATTCAGGCGGGCTCTCTCCCACAGCCGCGGAATCCAACAACAGGTTGGTTAAGGGAAAACTGAACGGAAGATGACAGGACACAAATTGCGGGGCGGAAAAAAGCCTCATATTTTCTCTCAACCAAATGAAGGGCTTGGGAATGTTTCTCCCGTTTCTCAAACAGAGATCAAGAGTATGACATGCAAAGCCCCTCTTCGTGAAGAAGGCCAAGTTTATTGAGTGTTTAATGAAATGCAACCCAAAAACAGCAAGTGTTGCACGTGTAGCAAAAGATCTTCACTGACGGCTTTTGTGAGTTATATCTCAGGCTATAAATTGCTGCTGGAGCTTACACCTGCAGATGGATTTGTCGAGGTAGGGGGGATTAGAATGAGAGAAAGCGAGGGAGGGAAAGAGATAAACAAAGACTGACACAAAAGAGAAGCACAAGACAAACACAGACAGTGAGAAACAAAAAGGAGGAAGTTCTCCAGTCTTTAGTCTACATTCCTCAGCCTGATGCCTGAAGTATCCTCAGATCCTGAACCTATACAATCATCCCCTGTCTAAATCCCTGCAAACAATACTCTGAGCCCAGGAGAGAGGGGGAGATATTCAGCGCAGGTGGTGTCAGGTGCTTCCCAGTGCAGACAGATGGAGCAGGAGAACAGATTAGAGCAGAACAGATACTCTAAAGCCGTTTGTTGGTCTCAGCAGCGCGCAGGAAGCAGATTCTTTCATCGCAGGAAATGACAAAGACAAATTGAACACCTGCAAAGCTGCTCGAAAAAGGTGGAAAAGCTGATGGAAAGTTTGATGAGGAAGAAAAAAAAGACATTCAGGGCAAAGTGAAAAGCAGGTGAGTGAGCAGCTGGAGCGTAGGATGATTCACTCGCACTGATTCAATTGAAAACATCACATTTCACAAGAATATATTTTTCATTTAGACGGAACGTCTCCGACACTCCAGGCTGTGTTTACTGGGAGAGGGGTCAACTATGACTCGGCACAAAAAAGGAACATTATCTGTTTAAAAGGGCCTTAATATGCTCATTTTAGGTTCATGTTTGAATTTTGTACTTCAACTGTGAAACATTTAATGTTCAAAAAGCTATTTTCCTTCTCATACTGCCTGTGCTGCAGCACCTCTTTTCACCCTCTGTCTGAAACCAGAGCCCAGTCTGCTCTGATTGGTTAGCTGGCCGGCTCTGTTGTTATTGGTCAACCGCTTAGAGGTGTCGCGATGTAGCACTTATCACTTACAATGTGTTGAGCGATAACCAAGAGTGTTACGTAGTGATGTCCCTATGTTATGGAAGTAAACAAAGGGGTCCAATCGAGGTGATTCAGGCAGGGAGTGAGTAATGGAGAGAAACTCCTTCTGGAGGGAACTTTGGGATTTGAACCTTTGCAGACCATTTACAAGCACAAAAAAAGTGTGTTATATATGATACACTACAGGAATAGAAAAAACCCATAAGACATAATAGGGCCCTTTAAGACCATTGTTTGGACTTTAAAATACTTGGTTTGTACTGCTTGATGAAATTGTATGTCCATTTGTATTATGTTTTGAAGCTCTAAAGAAGCAAGAACTTCAGTCTAACTTTCTTTGGACAATCTGATTCAACATATGATATGAGCAAAAGAAGGTCAATAATTCATTGAGTGAGCAATTTCTATCATCTTAATTGTTATACCCTTTTCACTTTTTTCATTGCAAATGTTGTGTCCAGTTTTAGTTCAAAATAATGTATTATCCTGTTGGCATCTTCATCACGTTGCTGGTTTGAACATTTTTTAAGTTCCCAAGATGAATTTAAAACCTTCTTAAATATTCACATAAAAAGGTAAAAGCTCTTGAGACTGGGTGATGAAAACCTTGGTTCATTCTGTACCTTTGTATTTGCCAAGAGCAACAGTTCACAAAGGTCTGTTGAGTAAATGTTATTCCTTCTTTCACAAAGATGCTAAGCAGCAATGCATCTTAAAACTAATTTGCTCACGTTCTAACTAACCTTAGAAACTAGGGAAAAATGGTGTGCAAAAACCATTCAGCTACCCATCCATTGACGGTTTCCCTGCGCCTCACATACCAGAGAGCACCACCTCGATGAGGTCTCCTTCATGGATGTCCTCGGCCGAGGTGAGCCTCTGCAGGATGTTCTCGTCGCTTAAGTCGTGGCGGAACAGCAGGATCTTGTCGTACATGCCGAAGAAGCCGCACTCTGGGAACTGGAGAGAGGTGGAGATGCAAGGGAAGACATTAGTGAAGATCTAAAAAGCCTGATAAATAGTGACAGATGTATTATGTAAGCAGAATATCTGGAAGTAGTTGTTAAAGCACGGAGGTGGGTCCACATCTGATACCGATAGCAAGAATGAGATGCAGATCAACCCTATTTACAATCTTTTCTGTATTAAACCCCCTGAACATACACTGGCTGACACACACATTTTTATTAGGTCATTTCTGGTGGTATAGGGACTGTTGTATTCTGAACCCAGTGACTCGGGAAGAGTCACACCTCTTTCCCTCCCTTTAAAGGACTTTACACTATATAGCAGAAGGGAAATTACACAATAAGGACCTTTCAATACAGAAGAAGTAGGTCAACGTAGTGTAACTAAATACATTTACTTCAGGACCTTACTTAAGTAGAAATTGAAGGTACTTCTATTTTAGCTCCACTACATCTCAGGGCCAACCATTGTACTTTTTACTCCCCTACTTTTAATCATAGTTTTAGTTACTTTACCATTTTTCTTACGCTTTGAAAACCATGTTTCTCCTGATCTTTTGAACTTGAATGTTTGTAATAATCTGAAGGATGAAGAGTTCCTTTATGTATTGAGAAATGATCCTACTTCTCAAGCAAATTCAACTATTTACAACAACCTCCTAAATCTGCTAGATAAGACGTGACGGAGACTAAAACATTGCCCAGAGGACAGTAATGCTACATGCATACTGTATAATGATCTGATAGAATAAGATACATTGCTGTAGAATGTAGATTAAGCTACTCAGTAGATAAAGGAGTTAGAATTAGCACAACCATCAACGTCTTCAGCTGTAAATGTAACATACATATAAATGCAGCATTATTTTAAGTCCAGAAACATCATCTTTAAATGTAAAACAACATTTTACTGCACGATAAGTATTACCAATATTTTCTAAGTGTACACAATGAAAAATCAGCTGGATTCAAGCATGGCAAAGACCCCCAACTCAGCTGTTGTTGTCACTGCTGATGCCTGAGCCAAACTAAACCCAGACAAGCCGGGTCTGACCTGGAGCTGAGTGCACCGACGTTAAGTCATGTGATCAAGAATGGGGGCGGAGAGGAGGGTGGGAGACAGGGGACAAGGAGGAGGTAAACATCCTGAGAGGAGTAGAGGAGAATCAGCTAACAGGAAGTGCAGCGCCAGTCAATACTGAGTCACTTCCTGTACTGAAGGCAGCCCATAGCTTCTTAGAGAACGATGTTTCTGACACAAGTTAAAGGGCTACAACCGAATTACATGAAGACATACACAACAAGTATATCCAAATATCTACTGTACTTGGAAATTGACGCTCGCAATAACAGCTCTCCTGTCCTGCACAGCATAACATCCTGACAGCGTGATCAGAAGGAGATGGATGATCAGGGCATGGTTTGTATCAAAGTAGGGAACACAGTGATTTTACCACCGTGGCTTGAGCCCAGTCTCCGTGCCAAGCAGGCTGGTACTGGAGGATCCACCAGCTGTTTCCCTCTGAACCAGGGTCACACACAATGGGCCACGCAGAACAATGCCACCGTGGCCCAGAAGCACCGGGGTTGGCAGAGCGTCTGGGCACGGGACACACAAGACACCTGGAGCCTTTCAGCTGCCAAGAAACACACATTCAGAGACAGCAAGACAGATTGATGGCTCAGGAAAACACGGGTGTATCAGATGACTGGTATCAACAAAGCCAGACGAATGAGACGTATGAAGGTGAACATTTCATTTTGCACAGAAACTGATTATTGAGGCCATCTCGGGTCTTTAAAACACCCCAACAAAGAAGAAGGTCCTCACACCCCCAGCCGACACTGAGCAAGTTCCCCTTCAGGGATCAATACATAACTATTTCATCATACCACTTCTTGTACAGCGATGTACTGCACACAATGCATTGCACTGCTGAAAAGGTTATATTATATAATATTTCCCTCCAATGCATTGGGTTAGAATTAAATAACTAGATTATGCTTGAGGTCAATTGAAAAAAATGTGTTTTAATGTCATTTGGCTGCACCCTTTAGATAAATATGGCAATTTAAAGCAAATAAGTGTTGAATAACTGCATTATTAGCATATCATAATTACCCTAACAATCGCTACGGCGGTCAGTCCAAAATCAGGCTGCTGGGGTTGCGTGAGGTAAAGCTTGCATTTATAGTGTATTATTACCCCATTTTCATTTTTTCAAATTACAGACAACAACAGAAATTGCAGCAAAATGCTCCTGGGTTCAATTTCATTTGAATGTAGAAACACATTGTCTGCAAGCTGTTCTCATTGACCTTTTGCTATACCTACGAAAAGTAAAGCACAATCATTTGTAAAGAAATAAAAAAAGGACAGGTACGTATAAAGAGCAACAAAGTCCGCACATATGGAGAAGGTTCCTTTTGTTATAACTTACGTACAACGCCACATACGGATATTCATTCTGTTAATTAACAGACTTATTTTCATCAGAACTACAATCTTTCCCTAAACCTGACACAATGTCTTCTTAAACCTTGGACCCCTAATGTACTGCAGAGTTAACGCAGCTGCATTGATTGCTTGTGTTGCTGGGCATTCACAGGAAACTATAGGAAAACGGAAAAAAAACGTTTTCATAAGATATTGAACGAACTGTTCTGACATAAACTACCTATCACCTTGTTATCATGATGCTGAAGAGTTGACTGTGTTGCAGACCAAAGGTACGCCTTCACAAACTCATTGGGCCTGGGTGTGTTGAAGGGTTCAATTGCTTATGCCAAAAGCAGATATTTTAGAAGAAAAGTCGTATAAAAAAACACTCTCGTCCTTCCATATGTTACAGGGGGGAAACCATCCACCAAGGATCTCCGCTGAATCGAAACTATGGCAAACAGAAACATAACAAGATGACAGGAGAATGATCTAAACACAAGGCACGTGCCCGTATGATGGAACATTTCCAGCTCGTCCCCTCTTGATGACATACCTACATCCTAAACCCTGTCAACCTCTAAGATGATTAATGCTATGCGGCTCAAACCATCACCACACAGGAGGGGGGGTATCCTTCCTGAGCCGGCTGCAGTGTCACGTTGGGACTTTCCTCCACTCGCCTGCATTGGAAGCCCGCACGCACGCACATGGGTTGATGCCCAAATCTAGCCACCTTGAGTCAAGTCCTCTTGGCACCCCCCCCCCTCTGCATCACTTTCCACTGTACAGAATGAGTCCCATTCCACAGCAGGAGCATCTGCAGGCCAGAACATAAACGCCGCGAGGGCAGAGGACACTACTTTTTTCCATGCACAATGAAAGCCAGAGGAAGCCAGAGGTACAAGAACAATAGATTGGACACATTGTTACAGTATGCTGTTCAGATCATCCAGATAAAGTGATAATTGATGGCTAACCTTGGGGCGCGAAGCAGAAAATCTCTCTATTCACACATTTTCAGCTTCCAGCATGTCAAATCAAACCTCCTGTACACATGTGCATCCTCATACACCATCACCCCACACATGCTACCGTCTTCGGAGCCCATTGGGACTAAGCATGTTTTTTGTCATCTTCAAACGCCATCCCATTCAGCTGAGCAGCCGCGACCACACACGCACACCAAAGACCCCGGCGCGGAGGAGCTGTGTGTGAGGTCCACAAGTCAGGCTGGAAAGACGAGTGGAAAGGGGCTTTGCAGTAGTAAGCTTTTGTTAAACGAGCTAATCCGCCATTGATATGCTAAATCCTGTTATAAGGAAAGGAGAGTGAGAGGCAGGATAGGAGAGGAAAAGGGGAGATGATGGGAAGGGTGGGGGAATCTGAAATATGGTCGTATTTCATTGAGCGCCAAAAATAAATTACCTCAAGACAGCCGTGAAGAAATGATCTGGTTCGAATAACCAAGTTTGCCATTTGGCTTTGAGGAATATTGATGCTTTCTCATGCATAGCTAGTATCAGTTGCATTGTAAAGCTAAAATGACTCATAAGTCATAACTCATCAATTTAATTTGACATTAGAAGTGAAAAGAAAAGCTTGTATTGAACGTTCTGCTGAATTTCTTCACTAACACAGTAGAATAAACTAATGTAGGACAATACAAGCTTTTGTCCAAACAGAATAGAGTTCACATGATTATGCGGTTAGACATTTGTGTTTCTGTGCATGTGTGATGTGTGGCTGAGGTGGGTGGCGAAAGGGAAGCAGTGTTGAGCGGGGGGCACGGGCTCTGACAGATGGCCATGTGATTACAGTAAGGAAAGTATGCTGCTTGACCTCAGGCTGCCTCACACCTTTATTAGTCTGGCGGCGGGCCAGACAGATGTGGAGGACAGCTACAGAGAAAGTCATGTCCTGCTCCAGATCCGTCTGCACGAGCAAAACAGTTGTTAACACTGCACATGAAGACTTAAAATGTAATTCATAAACACAGCTAGCTGTGCACAATCATGTAGAGATGCAACTAACGATACGTTGTTTACTGATATACTTTTATTTATATAGAATTTTTCTTTTTTTTCTTTTTTTGGCCCTTTATTGAAGATGAGGAGTTGAAAGAGGGATATAGAGGGGATGACATCGCCTGAAATGCATCTAATCACTGAACTTACCGGCGCCCAATTCATTTACCTTTTAAAGATATTTGAAAATAGTCCGTTTATTGTTTTCTGTCTGCAGCTTATCATCAGATCAATTGAGGAAAATCAACTTATTCTCCATTTTGAGAGGCTAAGAGTTGCAAATGTGGTAGATAGGATCAAATCAAGCACCAACAAAGTACCAGTGATTATAGACACTAAGAAAATGAAACAAAGATGTCAATCAAATGCCGGTCAAGACCTTTTAACCTTCCAAATGTTTTAGACCTTTATGATCAAGATATGTGTGACACAGATCTTGCGACCAAATGTTCAAAACATCATTATTTATTTGAGCGGTGGTACTTTGGCTATATACCCCCTAACTCTAATGTTGTAAGTTTGGATCTTATTCCAAAAGTGTAGTTAAAAGGGTGAGATAAGCGGTTGACCAATCACAGCAGAGTCGGCCAGCTAACCAATCAGAGGGTGAAAAGAGGTGCTGCAGCACGGGCAGTATCAGAAAAAGATTAAACATTCAAGCATGGAATAATGTCACAATAGAGGCACAATGTTCCAATATGAAAGTGAAAACGAGCATAATGGGGGCTCTTTAAGAACCCCCAAAGGTTCAGGCAGAGAATCAAAGCTCTTAAGTACTAATATTGAATTATGGATAATATATATATCCTTATATCATAATATCAACAGTTGAGGGTATTTGATGTTTGTCTTTTATTCATTCATTTAATTCATTTAATTACTTTTTATTTTTCTCAATTTTCTTTTAAATTATTTTTTTTCCTTGGTGTGTACAATTTAATTGTAAAACGTATACAGGGATTAATTTGAACATGTATCATTTCATAATTTGTTAGTGTCTATCTGTATTTTTAGTAAATATGTAAAAAACTCAAGAAAGATAATGTATATTGTTTAAAAAACAGATAACAGCAGAGGGTAGAGGACAAAAAAAATCAAGGTACTGAGATCCTGTGAACATTTAAGCAGAGTCAGGAGGTAAAAGGTTTAGCTTGAGGTGCAAGATTAAGACAGTCATAAGACGAGTGTGATACAACACTTTTCCTTACCAGATAAATAAGTCTATTGACTAATAGCAATTATCTAATAGTGGCACAACACGCATCACACTGCCCCCAGAGAGCCTCCACCAGAAGCCACAAGATGTTGCTTTCTGTTTCTGATTTGATTTGTAGGGAGAGTCCCTTCAACACATGAAAGGGGAGAAAAATAATAAGAGAGTGGGCTAAAATAACATATACATTTTAAGTTTTGATGTACAGAAGATAAAATATACAACATGTGCTCCACAGTTAGTCGTGAAACCATAAGTTCCACTGAGACAAAGGGAGGGTTTATCAAACACTTTTTTAATTTGAAAACAGTGGGGAAACCATTGTTTGACTTTGAGGTATATGTTAATGCCCACAACAGAGGAAAGAATACTTAAATAAGTCGGCAAATTAATGCATTGGAAAATCCAATTATGTACTCACGCGAACCTTCGGGGAAAACTGTGTAATTACTTTCTTCAAGTCACTTCAAACACTGTGTGGAAAACTGTGTTAATGTATTAAAGTCTACAGTGGAATTCTATTTGTTTTCATTACATATTATTCATCTAATACCAAGTGAAAGTTTTCCACAACGCATGGTACGAAAAAACACATGCACAGAGAATTATACAATTACTTGAAGTGGGACTGAACATAATTAATTTGTCACTTGGAGTGGGGCATCAAAAAAAGGCACAGGGGAAACACTCTTCCACACTTTTCCACTGGCGTGTTCAATATTAAGTGTTGTAGGTCTTCCAATAACAGTTTTCATGTAATTTGGCTGTATGATTTATAAATAATTTACTTTGCAGATGTACTCACTGTACTTTTCATGAGCCGACTGGAATCAGCAGTCAGCAGAAATCTGAAACACACAGTGTGTTGAGCTCATGGCTACTTAACCTGCTATAACTAGAAGATGATAAAAGAGTAGTAATATGCAAATACAAGCTTTCATTCTTCAGCACAAGAAATGTGGCTTTTTGAATGAAAACATGAAAGTCAAATGTATTTCAATGTGACGCACATCTTGACTATGAGGAAAAAGGCAAGAAACTCAGAAAATAACTGACTTTGGAAATAGTTGGACTACTCCTTGAACACGTTTCTAAGAAATGTTATTATGTTATGTAAAATGTTGTGAGCTTTAAAGATGATATAAGAGTGCTAAGATACATTTAGAAAATCTTCAATTCCACATTTAAAGCAGAAAGAAGAATTAGGCTTTTTGAATGAGCACATGCAGGATACATGTATTGGAAAATCATGGGTTGCGTTCCAATAGTCCATTTAGCTTAGGAACCTTCCTAACCAAGTGAAATGACCCGGAAGTACGTCAGTGGCAGCCATGTTAAGTGCCGTTCCAATTCTCTAAATGAAAGGAAAGGAGGTTTCAAACTTCCTTTATAACCTCCTTTAGCTTAGGAACCACTGGACCTCCCTTACCGAAAGGAGAGGAGAAAATGCTGCCCCACAATGCCTTGCAGCCGCAGCGTTTGCGTCACACAACAGTCGGCCGTTCACGGAAACAAACGATTATGACGGAGAAATTATATCATGAAAGTTACGGTGCTTATTAAGCATTTTAAAATGTATGCGGTAAGTTGCCAAAGTGCTTTGTTTTGAACGTTCATCAGTATTATAATCAAAAAGAGAAATATGAACGTTAGTTTTTACTAAAATTATCAAATAAAGTCAACATTTCACTGAGCTGTGTGGGGTTTGTTCAACTTTTAAAAGATGTTTGAATGGTGATATACACAGTGATAGGTGTTAAGGACTAACGTTTATAATAAATACATTTGTATTGATTTTAAGATATTTTCATAGTTCATACAATCATACGTATTGGGATCATTTGTATTAATGTGGACCGGAGGGAGAGGGTGACGAGCATAAGTTTCACTTTCCTTTTTTATTTAAATTCCAACTTTGGTCATGAAGAATATGTTTCTCTGTTGTCCACGTCGATAAAGCAAGGCAACAGCATCAGAGCACGGTGCAGAGTCTCTAGATGAGTCCGTCGTTCTTATTAAACATCCATGTTGTAGTCCGTTGTATAGAAAACTGTAGTTTCCATAGTTTCCCCACAGCAGCAGACGCACACAATGACGTCCGCTGGTGCATCATAAACACGTCGGATAGTGAAAGTGCATTCGGATTCTCTAAAGTACAACAGTCTTTTCTCCTAAGTCCTTTTGAATTCTCCTATCCACTATCCCTTAACCCCGGGACGTTTCACTCAGAGGTCAAGGAATAGGAGATAGGGTTAGAATTTAGGAGCTGATTTTTGGATTATCGGAACGCAACCCTGGACAGGCATTAAAGGAGTAGTCCAACATTTGTGTTACATTTTCCAAGATATTGGCCTGGCCCCCCTAGATTTTAATGAACTCATCCCTGAACAACTTGAGAGCTTTACTGAGTCGCAACAGGTGAAACACTTACAAAACAGAGAGCTTTGTGATGCAAATTGATAGCATCTAACACACAGCTGATTCACTTAGCAAGAAATCCTTTTGCAGTGTGCTGCAAAATACTGTAAATCTACTGACCACAATCCATGATGTGTTCGAGCAACAGCATAGAATATGCTTCCCTTCTGTTCTGCAGTCGGTGCATGAAAAAAAAGGCTGTGATGCATGCTTCATTTCAACGGTACATTACATGAATCTATTTGGTCCTCCGTTAGCAGAAGGCCAAGACAAACACACTGCAGCTTGAGGCCGAAAGAGCATATGGTTTACATCCAAGCAGGCATCTTTGTACACTTGCAGGATCAAGCGAAATCATCCCATCACTCTCCACAGCATACACACTATCATAATGGGCGCTCCTCCTGAAGGTCTTTTCCACTGCAGAAAGGAAGAAGTGTAACAAACTGAAGAAGCCCCATGCAGCGGAAAGGAAACTGGTTTAGTGGGAGTATGGCGAGAAGAGCTGTGACTTTCTCGCTCCAGAGCTGACTAAGTTGTTTCCTTCCATGTGGCAGAATATGGCAGAACGGTTCATTCATAGGTTCATACTGTATGAGGCTGTGTCCTTGTGGAATGCAAGCGGTTTGTTCTTCAAAACAACACAACGCGTCCAAATGACATCTGAAGCTTCTCAGCCAAGCGTGGAAAAAAGATGAACTTGAAATATATCTGCTACGCTCAATTTCCTTTTGCATCATACTATAGCAATGCACTTTCACAACTGTAACGCACACCACACAAAATCACCATCACTCATCTGTTACTTCCCCTCACTTCATGTAGCAGCTTTGTGCGGACAAGACGCAACAAAACGACATAGCGACTTAGTGTTTGAGCAATCATTTTGATCTACTTCTCACCTCTTCTTCTTCCTCCTGTATGGTTCAGAGAAGTGTGAGACTTCTGCCGCCTAGCTGGCTCATTAGTGAAGAAAGGCAAAGGGTTTGAAAAAGGGCCAAGTGTTCATATGCAATTCATTCACTGCTGGTTTCCTTTTTACCGTAAACTGGGGGTATGTGAGCATATGTATGCGTCTCCATTTCTGGTGCAGACAATGGAATCACAACTCTTAACCACCGAGCTCACGTCCAGGCCTTTGTCCAGACCACAGCGTATCGTAGGATACTCTACACCTGTCATCCTAAACCTCGCTCAATCATCAGGAGACGCTAACAAAGCTATACCGCTTACCCAATTTACATCGACCGCAGCGGATGATGGTTTCCAGCCAAATCTCTTCCTGGTTTTAAACGAAACGTTGCTCTCCAACGAAAATCCCGCAATTATTTCACCAGTCTTTTTTAAAATCTCAATCCAGAAACAATACTCTTCTGTGGTCATTTTTGGCATGAAATACAAGAGCAGTGAAGTGGAGTGGAGATAATGATGATGAGGTCAGTGTTTGGTTGCTAGCCACTGTATCCCCAATGACAGCCAGCTGGGGTTTGGCCCAACAAATGTTTTATATACATGACAGAAACGGTGTCATCTCTCTTACTTGCATGCATATGTATGAGTGTTGCATGCATTAACAGTGTGCAAAGGGCCAAGTTGAGACGAGGAAGGCTGAGTCACAGGATCTAAGGCCTCTCAGGAAGAGAGCAGTGTGATCTAAGACATGCTTGGCCAGGCCCCCGCACAATGCTGATGAGTTATAGCCCCGCTGCGATCCTCCACCTCGCAAATAAAGTCCAGTACACACTCCATCTCCCCTCTCTGGGCCTGGAGTAAAGGCCTTCAGATTCACCTCCACACGGGGCAAATAAACAGGTGAACCCGGGGGGGATTTTGTGCGAGATTGATGGCGACTGCACTTTCTCTTGTTCTGGCAGAGCAGGGGGTCAGAAGGTGAGCGGTAATGGCAGGATGTAGGAACATGCTGCTGTTGCTCAACAGAAACGTTAATAATTGCCGTGGGTTTGGTGTTCCAGAAAGTGGGCAGGCTCTAACTGCTTGAGGTTTTCTCTTTCTTCATGATAAATAATGAGGGTCTGCTTATACAGACACTGCTTATGTTGAATTAGCAGTTTTCACAGAATAGTACCTATGTAAGAAAGAACCACACTAAACCAAACAGTCAACGGAGCCAAATTCCTACACTCGAGCTGTCGCCTTTTTCAAAACATAAGACACCTCAAAGGCGATTTCTCAGAACATTTCAAACACACGGACAAGAATAATGGCAAGTGCAGTGTGGAGCCATTTGAACGCAGGAACACAGACGGAACAGGCTGTGCTGCTCCGCCGACCGCAGCAGATTGGAGAGCAGGAGCAAAGAGAGAATATGGAAACAGGGAGCGGCTCTGAGGGGAACTAACCCAACAGCAGAGTGCAGCCCGGAGAAAGACACACAGTGACAAAAAGAGTCATGCTGATTGGCTGACTGTTTCCCCTTGGGTTTAAAAAATGCTCCAACAAATCAATCTAACAAAAGGGGAATTGTGATACTTTTCATTTCACGTTGCCTGTGGCGCTTTTTCATTTCTTGAGACCTCTTCCCCTCATAACACAGTACGTTTCTTGTTGTATCAACATGTAATTGCACTTCCCCTGCCACCTTCCGATCAGTTTCACTGATCACTCACTTGGCTGAAAGATAGGAAAGGCAAACAGTGCTGAGGAAACAACACAGAATAAAACATTCTGCTCCTACTGCAGGGATCGATAATGCCACGCTGATAGGACTGTGTACAACAGATACCATGTGGTCCTCATTTGCAAGGTGCTAGAAACGTTTGTGGCGTGTTAACACATCGGCTAAGATCATGATTGTAGCATTTGTTTGTACTAGTTAGAAAATGTGACATTAGCAATTATCCAGGTCAAATGAGCAGGGGTTAATATCTTGAAGAGGGCAGTGTGCTTGTCTTTGGAACCCTTCCTCTTCAGCATTTGTCATGGTTGAAGTCCTCTAATGGCGCATTTCCACTATAGCGCGGTTTACGCAATCCGTGCCGTGACGTGCCCGGTCCGTTTTGGTGCGTTTCCACTAGGCGTAGTTCCGGCAAGCGGGTACCTTTACAAAGTTTTCTGGCTCTCCAAAATCGAGGTTCTTTCCGGGCCAACAACCGGGCTGAGTATGCTAAACTAGTGAGAGAATCACTGGCAACTACAACAAAATGAACATATTTTACCGTGATTTAATTGTAATACACGTTTCAAAAATGATGCCGAAGTAACAACATACTGATACCGGTTAATAAAAAACGAATTAATGCTTTGACAAGCCTGCAGACAGAGGGAAGGCGAAAAACCTTTTAAAATGCGTGTTTTCTGAATGGAGATCGGCTAAGCTAACGCAGTATATGCTCCGACCACACTCACGGCCTAAACAGACA